GAGGCATGTGTTCAGCACGCATTGGGCCATCGAGGGCTTTGTTACGACGTGCCAGTGCTGCAACTCAAAAACTCGGAAGGATGCATGGAAATCCCGTAACCATATGGATACATGCGTTACCAATTTCATGAACACGAAGAAAGGTTTCGAAAAGGTTCCGGGGTGACCTACGCTCTATACTTTCTCGTGCTCCTGCCTTCTCAAGTTCTCCCGTGTACGTCGCCGTCTTCCTTGCCCTCCAGCTCTGTTTTGTACTTGCGTGGTCCTCTCGTCGCTGTGCTATATTTTGTCTTGCATTGTCCTCTTGTCGCTGTTTTATACCTTGTTGTAGCTTAGTCCTCTCGTCGCTGTTCTATACCCTGTTGTAGCATAGTCCTCTCGTCGCTATCCCGTATCTCATTTCCGCGGACTCTCGCCACTGATTTGTGTATCGCGCTCATGAGTTTTTGTTACTGTCAAGTATCCTGTGCACGTGTAATCTTGTCGCTGTCCTGTATGTATCATCTGCCCGTGTTGTCTTGTATATTATCGACATGCAGTCACGCGCCAGTGAACCTTTGATTGTTGGAGCGTATAGTCTGCTTTTGGCAGAAGCCGACGCTTGCGTCAATTGCAGCTGGGCAAACCGTATCGAGGGAGCGAGGGGATCTCCGGTTGATCTCAGCGGCATTGCTGCCGGCGGCAGAAGTACGCGACAATTCCAGATTTGGGAGTGCGTTTGGATTGTTTGCACATGCGTGGCAGTCGGGCGACAGCCTCTACTCGGACATCCCATATCACATATTTATGTCCATCATCTCAACTTTTGACCTCATGCCTCTGTCAGCAAAGCTATCATCCCTCCCTTGATCTCTTATCAAAACATACGATGTCATGGCTCCATGAACATCTCGTGTGTGTATGCATCTTGACGATCGTTTCAAGCTTAGAGTTACGGAAATTTCATCGTTGTTGAATTGCTTCCGTCTTGATGCTACACAGATTGTCGTCTTTGACTGGTGTGCTTAGATTTTGAGCCTGTTCACCCACTGATGTCGTGAATATACTCCTACAGATATTCAATATACGGTTAGCCTCTGCATAGCTCATAGCTGTGGAAAGCTGCCGGATCGGTGATATGCACTCTTCCAATCTCGAACATATCCATTCGTATGCATAGATGATATAGAAAGCGGCCGACCATTTTTAATGTTTTAGTGTTGAAAATTCTCTTATGACTTCTCTATGTCGGTCGGACCAACAGACTGCTTGGTAAGTTTTGCTCTCTGTGATGACAATTGGGGGGCATGATACTCCAGCATCTTTTTCTATCCTTTCGATTGTCAAAGATCCGTTTCTGACACAGCACGAGTGCGTAGTCAAATACTCTTGTGGGTTTGTGGCTGATTTCAGTATATGATATCCGTCTACAGCGCATAAACTTCGTTGCCAGACGCGTAGCAACAAATTATCGTGTCGAGTATAGACGCCTCTCAGACTTTTTATTCACTGTGATATTCTGAACCTCTAGCTTTTCAACCCGACTATACCATTTTACTTCGTAGGTAAATGGTCAGCACATATAACGCGAAAATTCGAACCACTAGAACACGGTCGATGTCACAGACTTCGGCTTTAAAGTAGACGAAACCGCCAAATACAATGTCTCTACCATCTGGGCTTGGACAGCGTGTATGGGTGTTGCTGCTTATGCAAGCTCTAGATCTTCAGGACAAAGGGATTTGATTGATTGTCGGGCGAGGTGCGCCGCCTCTGCGGTTTGAAGCGTTTGGAGGGTCGCGAGAGCTGTGTCTAGATCGAAGTAGGGTGCAGGATTCCCATCGCCATAGTAACGACCGGGGAGCGTCGTCGTGCACAGTGCAGACCCTCACTGGCGTCTATTTGTCGGAACTTGAAACGCCACTCATACATGATGCAAAGCCAGGCTCTGTCCCTTTTCGACGGACAAAGAGGTTCTAATTCGCAGTGAAACAGTTCTCATTTTCCGTAGTAGTGGTAGCGAGCGTCCCGGCCGTTGCTAGGGGGCTCGCCCGCCGTGAGAGGAGCTCCGAGGACATGCGCCGTTCTCTTGGTACGGTGTTCGTTTATTTAATTTTTGAAAACAACGAGGTCCCTGACTGCACAAATTTCAGGGCCAGTTTCGAATCGTTACTTTGTCGTCTTGAGCGGCTGATCGGCTGTGATGCAAAGCATCTTGCGGGCTCCGGTTAGACCCTGCAGATTCGCTTTGTGATTCGCTTTGGCTTTCCGGAATCACAACGGCTGACGCTTGGTTTCCAATTCTATTACATCTAGATTTTGCCCACAATCACTTTGGTTTGCCTTCCTAGTTTGACCTTTTGAGTTGGCACCGGTGCGGACTAAGGCTGTTCTCTGTCCACATCCGTGACGGAGGAATACAACGCTTGGGATGCATCACTATGATGGCGGCCGTAATATTTAAATGCCAAAGCGCGGCTCATAATGTTCTCTATTCACCTTCGTTTCCACACTCACCTCCCCCTCGTCTCCTACTGCGGATGCGACTTCCGATCAATTATCTATTCAATAATCCTTTTCTACTCTACTCCATGGACTCCATCTTCGACTTGGAATGGCCCGACCTTGGACTCCCATCCTTGGAGTTGGAGATGGAAAACATAGGCCAGTCTATCAATTTTGACTCTGGCAAGCCTTTTGAGCCGGTTACATTGCCGGAATTAATTAATAGGTAATGGGCAATGCTTCTTTGACCGATAGAGTATCTGTTGATCAGTCTTTTGTCATAGCGTGTCGGCATCTTCAGCTACGACGCCTATAATCTTGCAGACACCAATAGTTGCGTATGTGGTCCGATTGAACTCGTGTCCGCGAGTCGTGTTAACTTCACTATCTTTCACGGAGATAGACTTGAGCCAGCAGCTCTACCGGAAGACTTGGAAGGGAACCTTGCTTTGGAACGCGAGAGGCAACTTCTAGAAGAGGATGTATTACCATCCTCTAAGATCCCCGACGTCGGTCTTTTCTCTCGTCTACCGACGTATGTACCATACTCTTGGTTGCCTCCGCCCTTTGTCCCGCGAGCGAAATCAACAGCAGGCCGCCAGCCCACAGGCCCATCGATCCCAGCCTCTGCTTCAACCTCGTCTGAGCGTCAGGTTTCGAGCGTTTCAAGTGTTGTCCCAGCATCTTCGATGCCACTGAACACACCTGGGATGGAGCCTTTAGAGATGGTCTTGCGGTCCACCAATTCTTCGCCGCTCCTCAGCCACCCTCAAAGGACCATGCAGTACCCTGCTCCTTCATGGGTTGGGTACACGAACATTCTGGGCCTATCTGGACAAACAGGATGGTTGTGAGTGGTTTTCTTCTGCCAAGGTCAAGACGCTCCTTGACTAATCGTTCTCTTTGTTGCAGCTCGCGCTCCCACGTAGGCTCATCTGCTCCCGTCGCTGTTCCTACCACACCGTCTATTCTGCTAGAGCCTCATCCACTGCAATCTCCAGCCTCCAACGTCGTCTCTGCTGGGATCGCGCCCCCTACGGTTCCACCTGTTACGGCCGAGGAGAGTCTTACCCCAGGCTGTTACACCCGATGCCTTGGCCCTCCTCCCGAAGATGCAGAATCTTCTACTCGCCGTGGTACCAAGAACAAGAGGGAAAGTGCTGGAGATGAAGAGAATGACAGGGCAAAAAGGACATGCCTTGCAGAACCAGATGAAGATGAGTCCGATGATCCCCCTATCAGTTGTCTGTGGCGCAAAGGCTGCAACTTCTCTGGTACCCCCGTCAAGCTTGGGCAACACATCATGTCGGTGCACATGCCGGGCTCCAGGCCAGATGTAGTGATCGTACGTTCTTCCGACCAGGTGACGTGCGGTCTCCAGGGTGCCGAAGAAGAGCCATGTACATTCCGCAGTGGGATTCAGGATACACTGGCGCACATTCGTGAGGTGCACACTGAACAAGTAAAAGGGCGGTGTACTCACCCAGACTGCCGGTTGAAAAAGTCCAGCAAGTGGGACAACTACGCACGACATATGAAGTCGGTCCACTGGAAAGTGGAGGGCACAGTGTTGACGTGCCCGACTTGCGGGTCGCAGCCGAGGCAGGACATGGCAGTGAGGAGGAGACATACACGCAGGTGTGTGCGGAATTTCATGAAGCGCCATAAAGACGAGTTCAATCCGGGATGAGAGTGCGCCGTGAGGACAGGGAGGCTGGATAAGTGGATCAAGGGTTTGGAGATGATGGACTTGATGACCATGGTCATCTAACTTATTGCGCTGTGAAGTGAATTGCTATCTGGTCGCTGCTGTTTCGCACTGTATAAATATTACTCTGTTGCATTGTTCTACTTCTGGAATCGATTGTGTCTTGTGATACATTATGTTCTGTGATTCTGGATTGCTTATGATCATGCGCGGGAATGATCATCCATGGCTTGCTTTCTACTTTTTGGTGGTCTCGTACCCGTCGACACGTCTGGGCACGAGAGCACTTTTTGGTAATAGCTTCCCTTCGCAATTCAGACACATTGAATGATATAAATATCAGAGAGATGTCTCAATTCGCAGTAACTGAGAATTGTACATGGTCCTTCGTCTCTGTTTGCATTCCCGCTGTGTGCTGAGAGCTCACTCGCGCATGATCATCCATAGAATGGTCAACTTATCCCTACCGATCGATCAGGCGTCGCGCTCGATACTGAATGCGATTGATTCGGAGCGCAGTCGACTCTGCCGGCCCGAGACAAACGAGGCCAGTCAACGTCCGAGATGCGCCGGTGATTGGCTCATGCAAATCCAAGCCGATGCTCAGTCCATTCTTACAAAAGACATGCAGATACTCTCATGCAGGACAACCGAGTGTTTTATTTGCCGACCCAAAACATTCACTGCAACACCTTCAGGGACACCTAAGCTGGAACGTCGAGCGATCTACAGAACTTAGGCCGGTGGCGAGCATTTGCCAGTGGCTTTATACCTAGCTAGTAATGGCTAGACCCAGTGAAATCAATGCAATTTGACCAGTACATCTAGCATAAGGGCAATGTGTCCGAAGCTCACCATAATATAGTCTCCAAAGACTCCAGCCAAAATCAAGGTGGCCCTCACTGACGACGCCAACATTTCGAACGTTGTATGATATGTTGCTTGAGAAATAACTCGAGATATTATTGGATGAACATAGTGCAATCGACATGACTATGAGCTGCACTTAGTTGCAGGATGCAAGGATACCGACAGAAGGAATAGTGTAATTAGACGTACTTTTCTGGCACCTCCTGCCCAAACTACAGGATGCTCCGCGTGACACGCAAGTCGATGCGGTGACATGGCAGCCGCAAAGTCTGCCAAAGTCTGGATGCATAGACACTGTCCTCCAGAAACACGACTCCGCAACAGCAACTTTCATGTACAGTCAGGCTTCATTCATCCCGCAATGTCGCCATTCAATTCCGACACACATATAGAGTAGCTCATGAAATGTCATCTTTCTGAACCAGGTATGAAGCCCCCCTGCGAGCGATTGTGCTCGATCCTGATGCCAGTGAAAGGGTCCAATCTCTAGTCCGTCTCGGGTCCTGTTATCATCTACAGCCATAAAACCATAGCCCTTGAGCTCTTCTGGAGGTGTTTGGACAAGGTGATGCTGTAGCAAGAGGAATCACGAGAGCAGACAAATTACACAGGTGTACGGCTTTATGGTGAGTCTGTCGAGTAAACGGTGCAACGGCCCGTGCGTACACTGCAACTTCCTCGGTTGAAAAGGTGCCGAGGAAGGCGTGGGACATTTTATTATCCGGTCAGGTGACGACCGCGTCGAAGTTAGAGCGCTTACGCCATCGTTCGAACTGACTCTTGAACTTACACGGTAGTTTTTCTGCCAAGTTCCTGTATCAGGTGAGGCCTCTAGCACAAAAATAAAGTCTTATTTTACTGGAGTGATTCGAGAGTTTATCCTCATATCATACAGCTGCAATTTGAGATTTCCCCAGAAGTTGGATCGTCTGCATGGCAGACTTGTACGCTCTTCTCGGAAGCATTGTTGGATCACTAAAAGCCGTACATGGTCAGCTATCTGCTAGGGCTGCTGATATGGAAAGGAATTTGTCGAAAATTTCAGTGTAATGAACCAGACTGCGGAACACTACTCGTACACGATGTGTATCCTGGTGCAATGCTTCTTCACTTTGCTGAGTATATAAGACGTTGCTGGAATGCGTGGAGTGGCCCAGCATGCAGAATATTTTACTTTGGCTAACCACAGGTGACCGACGGAGGCTTGATGAGAGATTCTGACGTCGAGGTTCGTACCGCTTTGGCCCACCTGCGCCACCAAGGCAAAGCCATGGACGTGGCTTTGGATTTGCTTAGTGGGTACGCCCGCAGATTGTTCTCTCGTTTGGGACTAACCTTGCCACATAATGTCCTCAGCCTCGCTTTGTTTTCTCGTCCACATTAATGTTAACATGGCAGTGCTCTTCGGATTTGAATCTCTCCACTACCTTGATAAGCAGCAAAGCACAATCTTCCATCTTGCCTATCACGATACACTTCTTTCCCTGCTCTTCGCTTTCCCCTCTTTGCGATTGATAATGGATTTAAACGATGTTTTTATTCACCCTAGAGAACCAGAGCGATCGTACACTGAAGAAGCCAGGGAATGGGCAAACTCGGTATTGAACTTTGACGGACCACCCGTATCGTCATCATCAGACCTCCGAAATATTTCCGCTACGTCTCCAGACATCCCTACTGCACTGTGCGTTCTTTGATTACTTTTGTTCTGACGCAAGAGTTGATTGTATTCTCGTTTTTAGGGCCGGTGATGGATCTAGTATTATTTCGCAAGTATCTGTCGACCCACCATCTCGGAGCAACCATGAAACTCTACCCAATTCTGACAGTCTTGCAGAAAGCCTGGATGCGGTTCTTTTTTCCACAGGTCCCCTCTACGCGAACTCAGCACTACAACGCACAATCTCCTTGCCCGTCGTCCCTTCCTTCCGATCGTTGATGGAGCCTTTCAATATTCTCTCTACTCCTGGAGTTGTATCTTGGCAACACGGCACTCTGCCTGAATCATCCAAAAGATCAATCGCTCCCTTGACGAGCTTTGTTTTTCCAACTCCTTCGGCACGCCAGAGCTCTGCTCAGCTGTCACAGTTCCAGATTCGATCCCCTAGCACGCCCGACGGCGGGCCCAGAAAAGACGCCACTTCTGCGCATCATAACGGTAGCCAAGAGTCATGCGACACTTTGTCTATCTCGGGACCACTCCACTTGACAACATCCGTTCAAGACGCTAGGCCTGGCGCTCTTGCCTATCCCTCGCCTGAGGAAACAGAAACATCTGATCCGCAGCCTTCGCCGGACGCACAGGCTCGTCGTTCCCTATCTCCTGCCTCCACACTTGTACAGCCCGCCCGGCCCAAAGGAAAGCAAGGAACCAAACGAAAGGGGCGCGACGACAGTGGAGATACCAAAATCGTGGAACCCGCCCGGAAACGGCAAAGGAGCGAGCGCGTCGAGCAGGGAATTCGCTGTCGGTGGAAGGGCTGTGAATTCTCTGGCACTTCGATGGACGTCTGGGAGCACATCGTCAGCACCCACCGGCCGGACAAGCGGCCGACGCCTGCGCAGCTCAACATCGTAACAAGGGATAGCCTAGTTGAGTGCGGGCTTGCCGAGTGCCAAGCGCAGGGGACTGTCACGGAGATGCTGGCGCACCTGCGGAATGTGCACAATGTTCAGCAGGAGGCGGAGAAGTGCACTCACCGGAACTGTGTGCGGAGGGCGGCGAAGCGGAGGAGTTCCATGTCGCTGGTGGAGAACTACGTCCGGCATGTGTTGGACGTGCACTGGAAGGTCGAGGACGTCGTCAGAACGTGCCATATCTGCTTGAAGAAGAAGCGCAAAGATATGTCAGAATCGAGAAACCACTTCTCGTTTTGCCTCGATCGGTTCATGGATCGCACCGCTGGATTTTCGCGAACATGAAGCTTTGAGCTGCAGTGTAAGTTGACTCTCGAAGAGCAGAGGGACTAAGCTTAAAGAACTGAGAAATGAACTCTTATTGTTGCTAATATTATATACGGTTTCTCCTGCTGCGCCATCGTCATGTATTCTTTTCACAAGTATTCTATCACCAACTCCGCTGCATCATGATGCCGTTGCATCGTACCTAGTTTTGGCTTGCACAATCCCTAGATTGTATCATCTACTATGTACTACAGTGCAACTCACGATTGCATTATATGGGTCGTACAATTGGTTCATCACTGTTTCAAGAATAGTGCTGTGTAGCCATTCATGGCCTGGAAAGCATTTTGAAGCAGCAAATAGTGATACAAGGGACAGTAGCCCGAATTTTCATCGTCTGCGGACGCAGAGTCAAGCCTCCGCCTGGATGGACTTGAGGACATACCCCTCCAGTCCACCACATACCCACAGCTCCTGCACACTCGTTCCCACAACGCCCACACTGTATGTCTTTTTCTCGCCACTTGGCCACGACACTTCCACTCTGCCCTTTGCAACCTTCACATTGACATTGAGACCCTCGTTGACTGTCAGCTCGCCCTCCTTCCCTCCGGCACCGCGTTTGCCGTCTTTCGCATACTCCCGCGTGAGATCCGCGACGAGCGACGGGCACTCTACGCACACCAGTCCGTTGTTGATCGCGTTGCGTTTGAAGATGTCTCCAAACGAGCCTGCGATCACCAGTGGCACGCCCGCCGACTTGAGCGCGGTTGCCGCTTGCTCACGAGACGACCCCGTGCCAAAGTTGTATCCAGACACAAGCACCACGCCGTGCTTCACGCCAACCTGCTCCGCCGCCTGCGCCTTACGGATCGACGCGACGAGCGCGGCAAACGTCGGGTCGTAGTTCTCCATCACCACCTCCGCTTGTCGCGCGAGCGTGATATCGTCCTGGTACGTGTACTTCCCGGGGTACAGCGCGTCCGTGTTCAAGTTGTCCTGCGGTGCAAAGAGCAGCGGCCCCGCGAATGTCCCCGGGAAGCCCGGAAGCACCGCCGCGCCCACTGCGTCTGTCGTCGGCGCGTCCGGTTCCTCGGCGGGCAATGCAGCGATTGAGAACGTCGGCGCGCCCGCGGGTGGGAGCAGCGCGGGATTGAGCGAGTCCGGCCCGCAAATGTACCCCTTTACCGCGCTCGCAGCGACGACGGCGGGGCTCGCGAGGTACGCCTGCGCGCGCGGGCTGCCCATGCGGCCTTTATAATTCCGGTTCGTTGCACTGATCCCCACCTCGCCGTCCTCAAGGAGGCCAGTCCCGAGCCCGATGCATGGGCCACAGCCTGCAGGTAACGCGCGTGCGCCGGCGGAGACGAGTGTTTGCCAGTGGCCGAGTGCCTCGGCGTCCTGTTGGACCTCGGAGCTAGCGGCTGCGACATAAAACTGTACGCCAGGCGAAACTTTGCGTCCGCGCATGACCGCAGCGGCAGCAGCGATATCGGAAAGACGAGCATTTGTACAGCTGAGAAGGTATGCTTTTTGAATACCAATGCGCTGGGACTCGAGCGCGGGAAGTGGTGTGGACACCTTGACGCTGTTAGGGCCAGAGACGTGCGGAACAAGCGTGGAAAGGTCGAAGATGAGGTGCGAGGCGTACGTGGCGCCTGGATCTGAAGCTAGAGGTGTTTCACGGAGCTCATCTAGTCTACGGCGGTTGATCCGAGGGTGTTCTGGTGGCGGGGGAATGTACATCGACAGGGAACTCTCCGGCGAGGAGAACGTACGTAGCTCTAGCCGTTTCAAAGCAAGCTCATACCACTTCAGAAGAATGTCGTCCACGGGAAACACGCCCACCAAGGCGCCCCATTCCGTCGTCATGTTCGCAATCGTTAGACGGTCGTCCACAGTCAAAGCAGAGACACCTTCACCAGTGAATTCGATAGCCGCATTCAAAACCTCATCGTTATTGAAGCTCCCGCAGAGCGCGACGATAACGTCTTTCCCAGTGACCCCAGGAGCGAGCTTGCCTTTGAACTCTACCTTGACCATGCGCGGGACCTGCCACCACGTCTTTCCAGTCGCCCAGAGCGCCGCAGCATCGGTGCGCACGATCGGAGTGCCCACACAGCCAACACCACCGTACATGTTGCTGTGACTGTCGCTGGCGACAGTCAGCGTGTGCGGGAATGCGTAACCCTCCTCGACAAGGACCTGATGGCCAATTCCGCGACCTGCAGGGAAGAAGTCGATGCTGTATTTTCTGGCGAAAGCTTCGATAGAGGCGTATTTGGATAGGTTTTTGGACGTCTTGTTCTGCACGTCGTGGTCGAGGGTGAATACGAGCTGTGAGGGGTCCTTGATTCGTGTAGCACCAATTGAGTTGAATCTAGGTGGTGGGTGTCAGCATGAGCAACACTGAGATGGGGCGAAAAGTGGACTGCGAGCCGGGGCGCCCACAAGGATTATCACGTCCAAATTATACAGAATGCAAGCGACAATCGAACAGACGTACGTACTCACTTGGAAATGACCGGGCCCGTATTGTCATGCGTCATCACATGCTCGGGGCGAATCATCACATAGTCTCCCGCCTTGACAGCCTTTCCTGGAGGGAGGTCGACCGCATAGCGCTGTATCACCTTCTCGATGACTGTCTGCGGCACTGGTCGCCCATGGCCTGGGACCGCTGTCGCGAACGTCCGCCTCCGCTCCGCCGTGCGTGGGCGGAGAGGGAGCGTGAGGATCCACCGCGGGCGCAATGGCATATGTGCGCTTCTGGTGCGCCGCTGTGCCCGTACACAGGGTCAGGGATAGGCGAGGACGGGGACGAAGATGGGAGACTCGAGGAGTGAGTGGACGAGCGCAAGGCCGCAAGCGCCGCCTCTGCGATGGAGCGCGCACGTGATCGGCCTCTGTCGTCGTCGCCGCTACGGTCCCCCCCTGGGCTCTCCTACCCACCCTGCCCGCTGTGCAGCCGCGTCTGTCTGCATACGCCTCAAAATCCTCCACAACTGCATCATGCTGCGGTCGGCGAGCAAGACTCGTTTCTGCTCCTCAGAAGGACTCAAAAGACATGCCTCATCTGCGCCGGCGACATGGATGCGCTCGTCCCACTCCCATCGCAGCGGGCTCATCGAAGTCTCGGCATGTCTGATCATACTGTGAATTGAATGAAATGCTTATCCGCCATTTTTATTGCAGTCGCCGCCTAGGTGCAGGTGCTCTCCGCATCTCGCAACTGCACGATCGAGTTCCTACTACTCCCACGGGTACTCTACAAGCACATTCAACCGATGGGCATCCGCGGCTGCAGCCCTGAAACCTGCACAGGGAGGCTCGGTGGAGAGCGGGCTGGGTGTTCCGATAGCCGACATACCCACGAGCAGGATTGACGAGCGCAAGGTAGTCATTGGCTGGGATACACACACCTGGTCGCGATAGTGCGTGGTCTTCCGGCTCTCTGTCTTATCTTGTTTCGTTGCCGCTGATGGTCTTTGATTGTCCTCGTCTGTCAAATGCGAAATCACCATCAAATTGACGTTTGCGAACCATAAACTATACCTTCGCATCAAAGTCACCATATCTGGCTCCGGGATCATTGTCGCTGTCCGCAATGCTTCCATCCCGTCACAAAACAGCGTCTCGTCAATACCTTTGAGGTGCGTTCACCCCTTTTACCAGTGTGCCTCTCCTCAACGGCTATCGCAGATTCCCGCAGACATCAAGCCATTACATGTTGAATCCAAGCCCGACGGGCTCGAAGTCACATGCAAGTACTCTCCTCCCCTCTTCCTCACATGCTTTGTTCCATCTCACCTCTCATCTTCCACTTGTAGGGCCCTCCACGCAACCACACACATCCTTCTACCCATGGTCGTGGCTCCATCAACATTCCTACGATCCATCATTTGCTCAACCACCTTCTACCGAGTGCGTGTTGTGTTTTGCATGCGTATGATGACGAGACGGGGCTGATAATTGGCCTATGCGTGACAGAAAAATCCTTTGGGGAGCAAAAATACTACAGGACCCGCCGACAGTGACGTATGAGGAAGCCATGGCACCGGACGAGCAGGGAGTGTTTAAATGGCTATCCAATGTTGTGAGTAGGTCCAGAATTCTGTTCGCACGTGGTCTCTCATTGTCCATGTGCAGGACAAATTCGGCTTCTGCTTCGTGACAAATGTCCCACCAACGCCAGAAGCGACAGAGGAGCTCTCTAGACGGATCGGGTTCATCCGCGAAACGCAGTGTGAGCTATTTATTTTGCTCTTATCCCAGCGAGACGTAATGATGTCTTATATTCGTCCACAGACGGGACGTTTTGGGATTTCACGTCCGACCTCGCAAAGGGCGACACTGCGTACACCACCATGGCGCTTGGCGCGCACACCGACACGACTTACTACGTAGACTCCGTTCCCTTGCTTCCTCCCTGTTTTCCACTAACCTTGCCTTTGGTGCGCAGACGGATCCTTGTGGCCTGCAGCTGTTCCACCTACTCTCTCACACGGACGGGAGCGGAGGCGCAACGCTGCTCGTGGACGGGTTCTACGTCGCGTCAATCCTACGCGAGCTGCATCCAACAGCATATGAGCTACTCGCGCGCGTGCGCGTACCTGCTCACGCAGCAGGGGAACACAGTGCGCTATACACACCATCTCCACGCGGGGGGTATCCCGTGCTCCGGCACGTCGACGGGGAGCTTGTGCAGGTGAGATGGAATAATGATGACCGGAGCGTGATGGATGGGCTGGAACCGGGCATGGTGGAGGGGTGGTAAGTCTCTCACTATAGGTTCCTAAGTATTGACGGCGACGGACGCTGATTGGGCGGGGCGCGGATAGGTACGATGCGCTACGGAAGTGGTACCAGCTCCTGACGAGTGCTGACTCGGAGTACTGGGTGCAGCTCTCGCCAGGTACGGCTGTTGGTATGTACATGAATGTCCTTTTACATCGGTGGTTCTCACCGGCAATGTTTGTTTTTGCGTTTTTTTGGCCAGTGGTCGACAATCATCGGGTGCTGCACGGCCGATCGGCGTTTGAAGGGAAGCGGCGAATGTGCGGGGCGTACATTGGAGTGGACGAGTACCGGTCGAAGTTGGCTGTGCTCACGGAGAAGTTTGCGCCAGACCGCATTGTGCGCGAGACGGCACCGTATGCGGAAGTGAATGGGCGGAGTGTGTGGAACCCCGCCCTGTGACCAAACTCTGGTATGACTACGGACTGCCTTTCGGGCACTGAACGCCTTCGCCTTCAAGAACATGAGCTCCTTCGTGGATTGTGAGTGGACTGGGGATTTCTGTCGCGTTTTCGTGCGCTTTTACTACGGATATGGTATATGGCGTGGCGCAATGGCGAAGTGTTTGTTGTATGCATACACAGCGGTGTACCCCTCTCCGACTCTTGTTTTATGACTCCACTAGCCGGTTGTGTCACCCTGGCTTGTTTGTCTGGATCCGGGTGGGATACGAGTAGATGCCAATGCTCGTTCTTTTGGATCGGATGCGATGACAAGACGACCGTCACGCAACGATCGAGGGACTCGATCAACGCACACAGGGTGCAACAGGGGTCTACCGGTGTCCACAAGGGTTGCGCCGGCCCGCACAATACATACCAACATTGTTTGATTCATTATGAGATATGAAGCTGGCTGGGATGAATACGCTCTGGCAATTAAAAGTTCAGGCGTGGTGTGCGTCTCGGGATTGGACCCAGCTCACAGTTTCTCTGCAGACAGGTGGAACGCCTCTTTTTCTGTTCTCGTTCTCTCTCCTTCGGCCAGGCGGCATCATAATATCATCTGCCGGTGGGGTGCTCTTCGACAACGTGATAGACACTGTGTCAACAATCAGGTTGCATCTGCACATGTATCGCGGGTTCATTTCCGCTAACACGGATCAATGAGCAGCAGGTGGTAGGTCGCGGCGAACTTGGGTACTGCGTGCGCCGACCCTGCTCTGGCTGCCATCACTCAGACATCGCCAGAAGGCTGTAGAAACCAGAGATACCTAGTACTGAGACGAATAACTTCAGGATGAAAACCGTTTTGCACAACGGTGCTAGACATTACTTATCCAGCTAGAAACATCGCGTATCTATCCACTTGTAGCACGGATTTCGTCGATCGGCACCAATTCGTCAGCAACAATGACTCACGTTTCGAGGACAAAGAGAGGGTGAGAAAGGACGACGTGGATGAGACCAAGCACCGGATCTGATATGACCGATCGCCACCAGCCGAGCAAAGCGTGTTCTTGTTCATGGTCAGATGAGCGTCCTTAGGAACACTAGCGCAGAGAGCGTCGTCGAATATAGATCAAAGCAAAGCACTACGATATAGGATTGGAAACCGTACAATAAACGCAGTCGCTAGACACGAACGAGCAGCAAGCAGAGCGACAATTCAAGCACAGATAACGATACATACAGATCAAAGCACAACGAGAAAATGGGTATCATGTTGGATCATTGGGTATCAAATCCCCCCCGCGCAGCACACCGGCCCCGCCCACATTTCTCCTACGTTCTTCGTCCGCCACCCTTCCCCACCGCCTGCCCGAACCCTCGATCACG